AATTGATATTTAGAGGACATTCCATCCCCAAACAGCAGATTACACTTTCTTCTCAAGTGCACACGGAACATTCTCCAGTATAGATCACATCTTGGGTCACAAATCAAGCCTCAGTAAACTTAAGAAAATTGAAATCATATCAAGCATCTTTTCTGACCACAACAATATGAGATTAGAAATGAATTACAGGGAAAAAACCGTAAAAATCACAAACACATGGAGGCTAAACAATATGTTACTAAATAACCAAGCGATCACTGAAGAAGTCAAAGGGGAAATCAAAAAATATCTAGAAACAAATGACAAGGAAAACACAATGATCCAAAACCTATGGGATGCAGCAAAAGCAGTTCTAAGAGAGAAGTTTATAGCTATACAAGCCTACCTCAAGAAATAAGAAAAATCTCAAATAAACAATCTAATTACACCTAAAGGAACTAGAGAAAGAAGAACAAACAAAACCCAAAATTAGCAGAAGAAATCATAAAGATCAGAGCAGAAATAAATAAAATAGAAACAAAGAAAACAATAGCAAAGATCAATAAAACTAAAAGCTGGTTCTTTGAGAAGATAAACAAAATTGATAAACCATTAGCCAGACTCATCAAGAAAAAGAGGGAGAGGACCCAAATCAATAAAACTAGAAATGAAAAAGGAGAAGTTACAACAGACACCGCAGAAATACAAAGCATCCTAAGAGACTACTACAAGCAACTCTATGCCAATAAAATGGACAACCTGGAAGAAATGGACACATTCTTAGAAAGGTATAACCCTCCACGACTGAATGAGGAAGAAATAGAAAATATGAACAGACCAGTCACAAGTAAAGAAATTGAAACTGTGATTAAAAATCTTCCAACAAACAAAAGCCCAGGACCAGATGGCTTCACAGGTGAATTGTATCAAACATTTAGAGAAGAGCTAACACCCATCCTTCTCAAACTCTTCCAAAAAATTGCAGAGGAAGAAACACTCCCAGAGTCATTCTATGAGGCCACCATCACCCTGATACCAAACCCAGACAAAGATACTACAAAAAAAGAAAATTACAGACCACTATCACTGATCAATATAGATTCAAAAATTCTTAACAAAATACTAGCAAGGAGAATCCAAAACACATTAAAAGGATCATACACCATGATCAGGTGGGATTTATCCCAGGGATGCAAGGATTCTTCAGTTTACGCAAATCAATCAATGTGATACACCATATTAATGAAGAATAAAAACCATAAGATAATCTCAATAGATGCAGAAAAAGCTTTTGACAATATTCAACACCAATTTATGATAAAAACTCTCGAGAAAGTGGACATAGAGGGAACCTACCTCAACATAATAAAGGCCATATATGGCAAACCCATAGCAATCATCATTCAATGTTGATAAACTGAAAGCATTTCCTCTAAGATCAGGAACAAGACAAGGATGTGCACTCTCACCACTATTATTCAACATAGTTTTGGAAGTCCTAGCCATGGCAATCAGAGAAGAAAAAGAAATAAAAGGAATACAAATTGGAAAAGAAGTAAAACTGTCACTGTTTGCAGATGACATGATACTATACAGGGAGGACCCTAAAAGTGCCACCAGAAAGCTACTAGAGCTAATCAATGAATTTGGTAAAGTTGCAGTATACAAAATTAATGCACAGAAATCTTTTGCATTCCTGTACACTAATGATGAAAAATCTGAAAGAGAAATTAAGGAAACACTCCCATTTACCACTGCAACAAAAAGAATAAAATACCTAGGAATAAACCTACCTAGGGAGACAAAAGACCTATATGCAGAAAACTATAAGACACTGATGAAAGAAATTAAAGATGATACCAACAGAGATATACCATATTCTTGGATTGGAAGAATCAATATTGTGAAAATGACTATACTACCTAAAGCAATCTACAGATTCAATGCAATCCCTATCAAGCTACCAATGGCATTTTTTACAGAACTAGAACAAAAAAATCTTAAAATTTGTACAGAGACACAAAAGACCCCGAATAGCCAAAGCAGTCTGGAGGGAAAAAAGCAGAGCAGGAGGAATCAGAGTCCCTGACTTCAGACTATACTACAAAGCTACAGTAATCAAGACAATATGGTACTGGCACAAAAACAGAAACATAGATCAATGGAACAAGATAGAAAGCCCAGAGATAAACCCACGAACCTATGGTCAACTAATCTATGACAAAGGAGGCAAGGATATACAATGGAGAAAAGATAGTCTCTTCAATAAGTGGTGCTGGGAAAACTGGACAGCTACATGTAAAAGAATGAAATTAGAACACTCCCTAACACCATACACAAAAATAAACTCAAAATGTGTTAGAGACCTAAATGTAAGACCAGACACTATAAAACTCTTAGAGGAAAACACAGGAAGAACATTGTTTGACATAAATCACAGCAAGATCTTTTTTGATCCACCTACTAGAGTAATGGAAGTAAAAAGAAAAATAAACAAATTGGACCTAATGAAACTTCAAAGCTTTTGCACAGCAAAGGAGCTAGAAACAAGACAAAAAGACAACCCTCAGAATGGGAAAAAAATTTGCAAATGAATCAACAGACAAAGGGTTAATCTCCAAAATTTATAAACAACTCATGCAGCTCAATATTAAAAAAAACAACCCAATCCAAAAATGGTCAGAAGACCTAAATAGATGTTTCTCCAAAGAAGAATACAGATGGCCAAGAAGTATATGAAAAGCTGCTCAACATCACTAATTATTAGAGAAATGCAAATCTAAAACTGCCATGAGGTATCACCTCACACCAGTTAGAATGGGTATCAGAAAATCTGCAAACAACAAATGCTGGGGAGGGAGAGGACAAAAGGGAACCCTCTTGCACTGTTGGTGGGAATGTAAATTGATACAGCCACTATGGAGAATAGTGTGGATGTTCTTTAAAAAACTAAAAATAGAATTACCATATGATCCAGCAATCCCACTCCTGGGTATATACCCAGAGAAAACCATAATTCAAAAAGACACATGCACCCCAATGTTCATTGTAGCACTATTTACAACAGCCAGGTCATGGAAGCAACCTAAATGCCCATCGACAGATGAATGGATAAAGAAGATGTGATACATATATACAATTGAATATTACTCAGCCATAAAAATGAATGAAATTTGGTCATTTGTTGAGACGTGGATGGATCTAGAGAGTGTCCTACCGAGTGAAGTAAGTCAGAAAGAGAAAATCAAATATTGTATATTAACGCATGTATGTGGAACCTAGAAAAATGGTACAGATGAACCGGTTTGTAGGGCAGAAATTGAGACAGATGTAGAGAACAAACGTATGGACACCAAGGGGGGAAAGCCATGGGAGGATGGAGATGATGGTATGTTGAACTGGGCGATTGGGATTGATATGTATACACTGATGTGTATAAAATTGATGACTAATAACCTGCTGTATAAAAAAATAAAGTTCAAAAATTAAAAAAAAAAAGTAACTTCAGCTGGCCTTAAAAAACCCAACCAAACCAAACCAAACATATATCAGGAAGAATGAATAACATATTGATACTTTAAAATAGAGAGAATTTAGATTAGCCAGAGAAAAAGTTCATAAGCTTTTCTTAAAAAATAAATTTATTTTATTTATTTATTTTTTGCTGTGTTGGGTCTTCATTGCTGCATGTGGGCTTTTTCTAGTTGCAACGAGTGGGGGCTACTCTTCGTTGTGGTGTGCAGGCTTCTCACTTCAGTGGCTTCTCTTGTTGAGGAGCAGAGGCTTTAGAGCGCGGGCTTCAGTAGTTGGCAGCATGCGGGCTCAGTAGTTGTGGCTCGTGGGCTCTAGAGTGCAGGCTCAGTAGTTGTGGTGCACGGGCTTAGTTCCCACCAGGGAAGCTCCCATAAGCTTCTTTTTTTGCATGAAGAGCTAAAATGTTCCTCACTTGAATCCTTGCAACTAACACAGGAGAATGTCAAGGAGAAAAAGTTACTGTTAAGTTCTTATGGGAGACAGCTAGGGGCAGTTGATGTATACTGTTGAAGGGTTGAGTTTGGGAAAGGGACATCTTTACCTATGAGTCACTGCTGTTCTAGAATTACTCCATTTTAAGGATCTATATTTAAGGCCTTAAGATATAGGGAGTCTTATACTATGCCTCAGTATTTGAAGTGCTAGCAAGTTACAGATTAGTGAATTATTTGAAAGATTGGGGAAAATGATAGTGGCCTCTAAATTGTAGTTTACCATAGCAGGGCCTGGTTACATGGATTAATAGAACACAAGTCATATAAGTTTGGCTAGTCAGTGAGGTAATGTAGAAAGATCTGGGTCACTGCTGGGAATTAAAAACCCGAGTAGGAGTGGTGCTGGGAGCCGACTTCAGAAGCTAAAGAGTCCTCTGAGGCTACAGAAGAAAAAAGCAAGGGAGTAAGAAAGAGATTGAAAGGGGTAGCAAAGACAAATCATGCTTAGTTCATTCCAGCCCCAATTTTAACAATGTCCATAAAAGAACAGTGATTCCACTTACTCAATCCCTGTTGATCAATTGATATAAGTACTTCAAGTGTCAGGCATGGTGAAACTTATGGGAATATTAGACCAGGTGGGAGAGGACTAGGGTCATTGCAGGCCAACGAATGAGCTGTTTTGAGGCTTGCAATGCCATTTAAATTTCTCTCTATAGTAGTTGCCTAGTCATTTAACCTCTGGGCCTTGGTTGCTTCATCTGTAAAATGAAGACCTTGAACTATAAGATCTTTGGGGAACTTGCAGCATTAAAATGTTATGATTCTCTTTGGCTTATTTTGGGGGGAAAATGTATGATCCTCGTTGGTTAATAAAGAATTAAAAAAAGAAGCTCACATCTCACAAGGGTGCATATGAATGGATAAGTGCATACCCAAACACATACATGCATATTTAGTATTATGAGGATTATCATGAAAAAATACTAATAAAACTGGAGTGACATAAGATTGAAGAGATATATAACTTACAAAATTTTTCTGTCTTTGCAGTATGAAATAACATAATAACATATATGCTTTTACAAGAATAATCTTCTGGCCAAAGGTGAGGGGATGTAGCAATTCATGTAAGTAAAGTTCAAACTTTATTTACTCAAAAAGTAATAGCATCCTTTGCTCTGTATCTTAAGGCTATAAGAAAGCATCCCCTAGGTTCTTGCCCATAGTTTGAAAATGCCTTTATCCCAAGGATTTTTCATTTTGATAAGTAATTATCTCAGAAAGATTAAAGCAAAGATTCCCTAAACTGACCCTTAGGAAGTACTTTAATTTTTCAAATTACTCAGTCACTGCCAATGTCATTTTGACAACTTCTTTTTCAAGAAGCTTTATGAATTGAAAGCTTTATGTATAGCCAGCAGACCTGTTCCTCATGAAGTGTGGGATCCAAGGCAGTGTGACTCCATTCTTTCTTATTAGTAGAAGTGACAAGACTTACTGGAAACTGAAACAATGGGGTCAAGCAGTGAATAAAGAAAAAGGAAAAAAGCAAGACTGGGAAATTCTCAACCCAAACTAACTAAAACATTCATGATATCCTATAAAGGGATGGCTGCAGTTGAGGTGTCTGAGTAACAGAATGCTATTTAAGAGAAACTGCTGGTGATCATAAAAAGTTACTAGCAATGACAGGAAAGCCAAGGAAGAGAAGACAAGGTTAAGAAATAAAATCTCCCTCTTGTGCAAATGGAAAGTCTCAGTGCCTTTCTATATGATTCGTATAAGCTGCTGGTGGTTATCAGTGGGATACACAAGAGAGGTAGATCAATTTCCAAGGAACAATTTGAAGTTTTCGGTTATTTCTGCAGACCCAGTAATAAAGACACTGAAGACTAACCAAAAGCTTAAGACATTTTCTATGCTTATAAAACTAATTTTCATTTATTCATTATTTTTATGTTAATAAGCACACAATTTGAGTATCCTTTATATTCCTTTATATAATCAGTGGATGAAGTACAAGAAAGGAAAAAAAATGGTCCGTGTCCTTAAGGAGTTTAAAATCTATTTGGAAATAAAATATAATTTTGTTTTGATTAATTCCCCATATTGGTGTAATAAACTAACTTGTAAGAAACCTGAAAAATCAAGTAAAAAATTTTCCTCTGAAATGCTTAAGCGGGGAGGTTAATAATAGTGTTTGCTTTATGTAGAAACTGACTAAAAGATAATGCAGTCTGTTTTATTAGCCTATTAGAGCTAAATTTATTCATCTTCTATATGCTGTAATTTTATTCGGAACCTATTTTTATCCTGCTAGATATTTCAGTCTTAAAATTCACATGGCCCAAGGGAAGAACCTCCTGGAATGTATCATCTGTTCCACTCAGTAGTTAGACTGCCTAAGTTCCAACAGCTGGAACTTATGCCTCTTTACTTGATCTCCCTTTATCCCCATGGAGCCCTTTAGACGTGTTCTTATTCCCCCACTGTCCTTGGGGGAAAACTCCTAGCATCTGGAAGCTGGGACTATATACAAGTTAGATATGGATGCCTTTATCTATTTGTTGTTTAGGGCTGGTATTCCAGTTTTTTAGTTCAGTGTGAATATGTAAAGCATGATGGTGGAGGGGTAAATATTTTTCAGGCAAATGAGAGTGCTGGTAAAAGTGAATAAAGGTGATATGAGACTAGAAACTAGATTCTTTGATAAAGATCCTAAAGTTGTTTCTACTGGAGAGTAGAAAATTTTAGGGAAACGTAAATAGCTGTCTTCAAATACCTGAAAGGTTGACACGTGGGGACAAAAAGATTATGGTGGCTCATGGAGCTGCAATAGCTTCTAAGGAGTGGAAAGTAGTGGGAGCAGCTTTTTTTTTTTATTTATTATTTTTTTTTTTGCGGTACGCAGGCCTCTCACTGTTGTGGCTTCTCCCGCTGTGGAGCACAGGCTCCACACGCGCAGGCCCAGCGGCCATGGCTCACGGGCCCAGCCGCTCTGCGGCATGTGGGATCTTCCGGGACCGGGGCATGAACCCACGTCCCTTGCATCAGCAGGCGGACTCTCAACCACTGCGCCACCAGAGAAGCGTGGAGCAGCTTTTGACTCAACCTCAAAAGACGATAGCTATTCCCTATCCCTGTTGAAGCAGAATCTAAATGACTGCCTGTGGTTTTGTAGAGGTGAAGTAAACGGGATTAGACAAGGAGGTGGGACTTGTTTGGGACTTGAGATAGGGATAGTGAATGGGTTCAATTCCCATGCCAAGTGTGATCAACTGGTAAGGGCTGCCTGGAGCACTGTGGCCCTCTGACACTATCCCAGCTCATGAAGAAGAAATGCTATGATTGGTTAAGATAGATGTGCATGCCATGCATTTTCTTTCTCTGGGATGCTCCTTTAAAATTCTCTCCACTCCTTAGATTCTGTGATGCTAGGTCATACCAGTTGGTCTACAACTAGCCCAGCATACCTACCCAGCTCCCTAGATTCAAAAGGCAACTTTGGATCCACATTACTTTCTACCACTTCTTATATATTGTTACCCTTGAATGGGTAAGTGTGTAATTGGGTTGACCTGATTTGACTGAAAGATAATAGAAATTTTACTTCCTGCTGTAATAAAATTACGAAGAGGCATAGTGATATACTAGAACATAATTTGGCTCCCACCCTCACTGTTCCACTGAGACTGCATCTACTAGTGATGCCATGAACGGTGTCTGTGTTACCAAAGCAAATGGACACTCGACAACTTCTTGAAACATTTCTGTCTCTTGACTCTTACCATGCAATTTCCTCCTGCTTTTCTCCCACCTCACTCACTGCTTCTTCTCAGTATCTTTACCTGGATCTAAGGGCCATAATGAGATCCTCTTCAAGAGATGATTAAAATTTATCTATTCTCTCTCATCTGCCCATTCCTGTAGATTTAAATTCTTTTCTTATATTGATAATTCCAAAATTTCTAAACATATCCAAGAACTTTAATTTTGACTCTCCTGTATAACTACTTGCTTGAAATTACCTCTTAGATGGCTCACAGGCATCTCAAACTTACCATTCAATACAGACTCTTGATCCACTTCTCTAATCAGTTTTCCTTGCCTCTTAACCATTCCATAACATAATTAGCCACCCATTTGCTCATCCAGGAAATCTGAGGATTATTCTTGATTCTTTCCCTTGAACCAGATCATACCCCTTCATCCAATCTATCATTGTAAACATTGCCAAACTACATTTTGAGTGTGTCACTTCTTTTCATTACTGCCACTACCACCCTATACAAGTGTTTCCCACCTGGACCATTGCAGTAGGCTACCAAATACTTGTCCTGCGGAAATCAAGTATTCACATACAGTAGTAAGAGTAATTTCCATTCATTCAACATCAGTTCAACTTTTGATTGACTACATGGAGGGCTTATCATGGGCTAGGCTCTGCAAGGGTCTGAGGGATCATCAGGGAACAAAACAAAAATTCCTGCCTTTGAGGAGCTTATGTTCTAGTGGGAGAAGATACACAATAAAAAATCAACATAAAAATAAGTAAATTATACAATAACTGGATGAGGTAAATACTGTGAAAAATGGAAAATAAAGCAAATTAAGGGGGCAAGGGGTGCTGGGAAAATGGTGGTCCAGATTATAATATATAAAAGGAGGTCAGAGTAGGTCTCATTGAGAAGATGATCTTTTCATGAGAGAGCTAGCCAAGTGAATATCAGGGAGAAAAATGTTCCAGAAAAAAGAAACATCTAGAGTAAATGTTCTCCAAATGAGAATGTATCTGATATGTTTGAGAGACACCAAGAAAGCCTGTGTGGCTATAACAGAGAGAGTGAGTGAGGAGGAGTGTAGGGGGAGAGGAAGTCAGAGTAAATATGTGAGAAGATGTAGAGCCTTGTGGGATATTGTAAGGACTTTGGATTTTACTCTGAATGAAAGGAGGAATCACTGGACAGTTTTGAGCAAAGGAGTGACACAATCCATTTTAAAAGGATCATTTGACTGTTGTTTAATAAATACTAGAGGTAAGAGTACAATGGACAGATCAATTAGGAGGCTATTGAAGTAATCTAGATGAGAGATGATGGCAATTTAGACCAGGGTGGTAATGGGACAGGTAGTGCAAAGTGGTTAGATTTTGGATATATATATATATATA